TATTGTTTCAGCGAATGTTCTCGGAATAAATTATACATTTCTCTGCTTGCATTGCCAAAATTACAGCTCATCTGAATAAAAAAATTAATTGCGTGCATTAATGCGTGAATACGTGATGAATTATTAGCAATGACTAGTTGGTGTGCAATGCGTGAATACGTGATGAATTATTAGCAATGACTAGTTGGTGTGCATTATTTATTTCTAGTTTATGTTTTGATTCACCAATCGTCCCATATTGTTTGTGCTACTTTTTTCTTCCTCTCAAATTTTTACATTTATTGTTTGCAGTAAAGTCTGCGCATTTGTGTGTTTACATTTTGTAAAATAGAATAAAGAATCATTTTTTTGTGGGTTGCACAAAGTAGAATAATTTTAATCACGAGTTTGTCATGGAATAACAATTGTGGATTGTTGGCAGTGACTACTGACTACTGACCACTGACTACTTGTTTTCCCAGCTGAATGATAAAACATGTAATTTAGATTCCAGGTATATATGAGAATATGCCGTATTCAGTCAGAATGGCATTTCTTTCATCATTTTAAGCTTGATAGTAAGTAGATTTGTGGATCGATGGATTAGGAATGGTCTTCATTAACTCGTATTGTTCAGATCATTAAATATTAGACGCACTAACAGGTCGATTAATGGATAGGTGCTTAGTTTTATAGATCAGTAGATGAATAGGTAGGTGGATGAATAGTTTGATAAATGAATAGATAGCTACCCTTTAACAATTTTGCGTGCTTGTAGCGTGCTCTTGTTCTTGGCAACAGGTAGCTATAGCAATATTATTTTACGCTCATTTTCACTGTTTACATTTATTTTATGTGTAATTAGGTATTTTAGTTATTTATAATCAGGTATTTTAGTTATGTGTAATTAGGTATTCTGCAAGAAATTGCTGCTGTTTAATGAATGGATAATGATGTATGCACGTGCAAATTAGTTCAGAAATTGTATGAGGTGCTGGTATAAACTTCGTTGGTATGAATACGAAATTCAAAATATGAAGTAGAAATTGTTGTAGTATTTACTACCAAAGAGGTGTATAGTATTTATTATCAAAGGTTGAAGAATAAGTGTAGTGTTTGTTTATCACGAAATGAGTATAAGAGTGATCTCTGTATCAGTATGACCTTTGTTACCAATTGTGAGGCAGATAGGTTTGTTCATTTTTTTAAACTAATTTCTGTGTAATGAATTTGTCAAAAATGAAAACAGAAATAGGGCAATCTTTTCTGTTGTGAATTCAGTGATTTTTATTTAAGGACACTTGGCAATAACATCTTCGTCTTTCATATTTGAAAACAAAAATTAGATAGGTATGACTCTTGAGAGGTAGCTGCTAGTTGATCATCTGGTGCAAACATGTTTACTCGTATTTGTTATTGTTATTATTGAACTTTGCTCGAATTGTGAGCTCAAATATTAGTAATTTGATGTGATAATAATTAAAAACTAATCATTTTTTTACGTTTTAAAATTTGCTTCTTTTCAAATACAGTATAATTATTTTTCATTCTGAAAATGTGCTTGAAAATCAATTTCGTTTTGTTTGCAACGAAGAGCAATGAATGTGAGTGAAAATTTTATAGTAATAAATTGAATGGAAATTTTTGTTAGAAATAAGTGAACATTTTTTGTTAATGATTGTTTCAATATGTGAATAAGTTTTGTATAAAATTATTTGTTTCATTCATATTTAGGAGATTACAGGTTTTAATGCCAGCAATAATGGCACAAGAAAAATTAATAACATTAGATGCTACAGCATTGAGTTCCACAGCAGTTGAGCTTATGGTTGCTGATGTACGTTCAACTGATGGGAAACATCATAGGTTATTGTATAACCGGTCCAGGAAACTTATTGAATTCAGATTGTGCGGGTATGTTTGATTTTCATTTTTAGATCTTATTGCTTCTCATTCCTTATAAGTTGTAGTTTTTTGTTTGCCTTTGAACAGACTGATATTTTTGCGAGAAGATCTCTTCTATTCTCTTTAGATATATATCAGTACATTGATTATCATCATTTTTTAGAAGTGATGAAGGAAAAGAAGAAAGTATGTTGAAAGATTTGAATGAACTAATTTGTGTACGAGGTACGCCTATTATCATGAAACGAGGGCTGCCAACTGATTTAAATGAAGTAAAAAATTTTACTTTCATATGCTTTTTTCTAGTGTGTTGTTAGGTTAAGAATAATTTGCTTTACTTTTGGGAATCTTTACTTTAAGTAGCATTAAAGGCTTTGTGCATTCATGAAAGTAAAGTTTACAGAAGTTTTTTTTGATTTAAAAATTTTCATGTCGTAATCAGTTAATCAAAAAGCAGTCAAAATATTTTAATTTTCTGAATGACAACTTTAATTTGTTTTGAAACAATTAAATTAGTGCTCAATTTTATACCGTTGATGTTTTTTGAAATCATAATTTTAGGATGCAAAACAAGTTGACACACCTAATCACTTATATTTTTATTTCGCTGAAAAATGGACAAAGCGTCGGTGGCGTATCCGCACAATTACAGCTCTGTTTACCACTACTGTTGAGAAAAAACTGTGGTTGGACGCATTAAATTCCGCTCTTCATGGTAAATAGTACATAAAATTAAATGGTTTATTCTTTTGAAAACAAGTACTAAATGTTTTTCAATCATGTAATTCAATTTTTTAATTTCGTAATCAGTTAACCAGTCTTTTTTATCTGTACATGCAATAAAATCATATTTGTATTTTATTTTATTTACTTTGCAATTTCGTTGTTATAGATTTGGAACAAAGGCCAAAAACGTTATTAATATTCATAAATCCTTTCGGTGGTAAAGGCAATGCTAAGAAGATTTTCTCGAAACAGGTAATTTTTTTGCATTATAAGTTTTTAATAAGTTGTTTCTAACTCTCAGGTGACAGATGTGTGTATATTGTTTACTTAATTTATTTTCCTTTTTAAGTAGTAAATGATAAAAATTGCACTTTTAGCTAGTGATTGATGAATTTTTTGATGTTTTTTTAGCTATTACTTTTTCCATTTAATTCTGTGTGGTAGTTGAAAAAACTTTTGCTAATTTTTAAAAGTACTTGCCGGAAATTTGTAGAAAAAATTACGGACTATCTGGGATATTACTCTCACTCAGGAACGGGAACCTAGACCATGGAAAAATTTCTTCTTTAGTGGTTCTGGTCAATACTCACATTTAAGTGCTTTCTGAACTTGAGTATATAAACTTTGATTGGGTGTTAGAATTAATCTAAATATACTTAACTTAAGAGTTTACAGGTAACTAAAATTTTGGAAATGGCTGGTATTCATTGTGATGTTATATTGACACAACGTGCAAATCATGCTTTTGATTACCTTAAAGAACTAAATTCTTCCTACTGGACAACACTCGATGGTGTTGTTTCCGTGGGTGGTGATGGTCTTTTCAATGAGTGCCTTTCCGCTGTAGTTTGCAGGTACTATTTCAAATCAGAAATTTCAGCAAGAATTATACATTTTCGTTTTATAGTCAATAATTCTATTTGTTGAAATTTTTAGAACACAGCAGGAAGCAGGAAAAGATATTTCCGATGCTAATATTGATGTGCTGCAAACACCCAGAATGCGATTTGGTATAATTGGTGCTGGTTCTGCAAATTCTATTGTTTCTTCTGTTCATGGCACTGATGATTGCCCAACAGCTGCTATACAAATTGCTCTTGGTACTTTCTTAAAGTCTCCTAAAAATAGAATGAATTAGCTTTTAGAGCTGAATATTTTGAAGCTAAATTGATAAAATCGGAAACAAAATAATGCATAGAAATATGGAATAATCGGGAAGAATTCATTTTTTTCATATTATAAGTAAAATTAAAATCACATATCACGTTCTACTGCAGGTAGTAAGTGTTCAGTTGATGTGTGTACAGTTCATAAAGGTGATGATTTGATGCGTATATCTGCAAATGCAATTTCTTATGGTTGGCTTGGTGATCTTTTGGCTGATTCTGAACGTTTTAGATGGATGGGACCTTGTAGATATCAGTATTCTGGTATAATGTTTTAGACTCAATTTCATTTCAGTTCTAATCATTATATACATATTTTTGGCGTAAGATTTTCAGAATTTTTTATCTGCTATACTTTAGCTTTACGAACAACTTTACGTAATCCGGCATATTTTGGTCGCGTATCATTCAGTTTGATTCCTGAAGCTGGTGAAAAATATGATTTAAGCAATTTACCAAGATGCACTACACCATGTTCTGTTTGTGATGGGTATTTTTTGATAATTTATATGTATAGTTTTAAAAAAATTAAAAATTTTTCGCTTTTATTACATGAATGTGACATTTTTTTTCATGCTCTTTCCAATTTAGTTTTTGTTTACATGTGCACAGAGATTTAAATTGAACATAAAAATGAACATATTCCATACTTTTGATTGAGAAATTCTTTTTACATAAATTCGTAAAATGTGTATGACGTGTGCCTTATCAATTTTTTCGTCACGTAACATAGTTATTCTGTCTCATTACAATATATTGTCTGCATTAATTTCTTTTTATGAAGATTACTCTAACCATAATTGCGCAAAAAGAAAAAAAAAATGAAATTTGCCCTAAAATGTAATGGAATAACTCAATTTTTTTCAGTACTAGTGAAGGCGATAAAAATTATCCATTTCACTTACAAACTGATTTCACTCATATTATATGCTGCGTGGTGCCATGTATTAGCCCATTTACACCGTATGGCTTAGCTCCTTTTACAAGTATTGGTGATGGAAGTATGGATTTGGCGTTAGTTCCACGAATTTCTCGTTGTGGCAACATGTCCGTTATTCGTAAAATTGCATTGAATGGACCAAAAAGTGTTTTGTCAATGAGAAATACTTTAAACGTTTTCCGAGTTACTCGATGGGCTTTTACTCCTGCTTCGTTACTTCAAAATGCATCTAATCATGGATCGTCAGTGAGTGATGCACAAGGTGTATGGAATTTAGACGGAGGTTTATACTTCAGTTTTATGTTCTGTATATATTCATTTTAAAGCATGTAGTTTGTTTATCTTTCTTTTTTCTTTTTCGATTCACTGGTAACTTTTGTAAAGCATTTTTGGTTTTTTTGTTTTAACTCTAAGTTAGATTGTATTTTTGTATTTTCAAGTTATTTTTGTATTTTCATTCATAGATTGTATTTTTAAGTTTTGGAAAAATTTTCACTTATTATTTTGAATTGTAGTAAGCAGAAAAGTGTATTAGCGAATCAAGAAATATACAGTATAAATGCTACGGTTTTTTATAAAGACAAAGTATCAATTTCGTACTCGTATTAAAAAATGAAGCTAGTGCTTAGAAAATTATTTTCATGTATAATTGACAAAGATATCACTGACTTTTTCAATCGAGCATAAGAAATTGAATTCCTTTTGATTTCTTGTTTCATTTTGTCTCAAAATGTCTAGTTATTTCAATTTTCAGAAATGATGACGCAGCCGAAAGATGCTTCATTTCAATTCAGGTAAATATATTTTTTAAATTTAGTTTCGATTGGGTTTTCTTTTATCCAATTTAAATAATTAATAAGTTTTTTCATCTTAGATTGCATCCTCGCTTAATTAAATATTTTGGACGAGAAACCGATTTAAATGTGACTACAAGAAAGATCGGTTGTTGCAGACGAGATTATAAAAAACTGTCCAATATTGTTCGAGTGCCAATAAGTCAGTAATTGCTAACTTTCTATAATTTAATAGTATCAACTGCATTGTGCTTATTATCAAAAATTAAATTAATCTGAAATGTGATTGCAGTTCCGTCTCAATCTTAGTTTCTCTTTCGGGTGTTTATTACTTTCACTTCAAAGGTTTTATTTTTTCATGTACATTTTTAGATTACCATATTCTCTGCTGTACACTGTTCATTTCTTTGGGACAGATTTATCTTCTTTTATGCCTTTTTCTTTTGATCAGAAATCTTTGTGACTCTAAAACGTTTATTGCTTTTTTTTAATTTGCATAATTTTGCAGTTTTTCTCATATTATTATTGTGTGCATAATGCGTTTTACTTTGAGATGTTGTTGTCAGTGCAATCAACAAGTAAGGTGCCTGAATTTGTAAAGTATCAGCAACAATTTTTTTTTATGAATGCAAAGTAATGTTAACAAAAAGGACTTATGTGCCTTCATTTCATGCTAGTACATGTATTCTGTTAACCTCTAATTTTTCCACTTTGAACATTGATTTTCATCAGTATTTTATATAGAATAATATTATTTGTTTGGTGAAGAATAAGCGTGTGCGACCACAGTTTTTCAGTAGAAAATTTGATTATTTGCTAGACGTTATTATAATTTAAAGTTGTAATTATCGCGCATAATACTGCTTATTCTCGTGTCGATATCATTGTAATGGCTGATTTAAAATTATTACTTATTTTTGAGTAATTTTAATAAATACTAATATTTCATGTACACTCCTATTCTTGTATACCTGTAATTCATATATACTTTTATTTTAATGGATTAAATATGATTTTTGGATAAATTGTAGATTACTCATGTTAATTTTATATCAGTGCACTGTGGTCAACAATTGCATGATGATTTCTTCTGTGATTCCTTATGTGTGACAGTGATTTTAGTACTCTACCTATCTTTGTTTGGTCGGTATGTATGTTCTAATGCTATAAATATATCATTGAGTGCAATATTTGTTATGAGTCATAACAAAAGTTCAAGTATTATAATAATACAAACAGTTTACTTTTGCCCAAATTTTTTGGAAGACTTAAGAAATTTACTTAAGTGTAAATAATAGTCACGCATGCATTTGCCATATTATTGACGTAAAACTCAATCTTAGAGACATTTTGATGAGTAAATATATGCCTGGAGCGTTTGAAATTGAGCTGCAACCAAGCCCAAAGCAACTGCGTGATTTTAGTTGGAGTGTTAAGGTAAAATGATGAAGTACTAATTTTGGTTCTAAAATCCTGTTGTAAAGTTAGAGGTTTAAAAATTTTTGCAAATATAATTCCATAGTGCAAGTATATTCTTTTTTGTATGTATAATTTCTTTGAACTTTCAATTGTTTTAGTGCTTCTAAGAAGTTTAATTTTCATTCATACTTTTGATTCAGCAAGTTGTTATCGCTTCCACTATCTTTAGCATTTTTTAATTACTTTAATTTTGAGCTTGTGAGTGATTGCGATTCAGCGATTGAGAACCTCAAGCCAATACTTGTATTAACTCTGCATTTCGTTGAAGGCATTACAAAGACATTCGAACTTACACAAGAAGAAGTATGTGAGCATTTTTTGATTTTACAAAAACTACATATTTTATTATTACGTAGATAAATTTGTATATTTATTCATATTTTGTGCATAATAAATGAAATTGAATTAGTTTTTGTTTTGCAAAAAATAAAAGTTTCACACTTTTTTTGTGCCACAATTTTTTACGATGCATTTATATTGTTAATTTGTAATAAAACGAAGTCTTCATTCGATACTTCATACTCTTATTATTGCAGTTAAAACAATTCATTGGAGATTCAGAAACAGCTCTATCTACAATACATAAAGCACAATGAGTAGAATGTATCCGAATTTACCTCCAGGGTTAATAATTTTGCACATTTAAATTCAAACTGCATTCATCTTTGACTGCAAACATTTTTGATCGTATATAATAGTGAAGTGTTTTATTTTGTTTCACATGAAAAGTAAACTGTTAGCTACGTCTAATAAGCTTTTTCAATTTAGAATCGGTCTTAGATTACTGAATATTTTTGGCAAACTTTTTACTTGCAACTAGTTTTCTTCATGAGTAGTTTTTTCTATATTCAGAAACTTTGTATATATTTTTGATATTAAATTGGATGAATAATCTTTATTGCTTGTGAATTTTTATCATGTTTTATTTGCAGTTCTATTTTCAAGTCTGCAGCTATTATAGTACCATCATCATTATTACTGTACGGGTTTGTCGAATATGTTACAGGAAATGAACTATTCCAACAGAATCAAGTAATTGTTTATTACTGAGAATGCTGAACAATCTTATGAGTAGTTCACTTTTATTTTTTTAGTCATAATAATTTTTAGTCATATGCTTAGAAAGTTTATGTAAATATACTTTTAGCTTATGCCATTATTGAATCATGCAATAAAACCTAGTTCTTTGGCTCGATTAAGTCTTAATTTGGCCAAATATCGTTTACTACCCCCGTTAGGTCAAAGCTGTGTAGAATATTCAGAACTTAAATGCAATGTATTGGGGATGGAGTTGAAAAACCCACTTGGATTGGCTGCTGGCTTTGATAAAAGCAAGTATATGTGCATCTTATTTTTGCATTTTGATGATGTTAATAGATTAGATTGTAAATCATATAAAGGATTTGGATCAAGTTAAATTACTCATATCGGAAAATTAATTTTCAGCGATAGTGAATTTTTCAGATCGTAAAAAAATTATTGTTTCATTTTTTATGAAATATTAATTCTGTCATAATTTTTGTTAAAAATTTTAAGTTTTTCACTGTTTCATTCTTCAGATGGTGAGGCTATAAATGGTTTACGAAAAAGTGGTTTTGGTTTTATTGAAATAGGCACTGTCACACCACTACCCCAAAAAAAAGATTCTAAATCAATTAAATATTCTTCTGATTACGAAGTAGGTTAATTTAATCTGTACGGAAAAAGCTAAAAGATTAAATTGTTTTAGAAGTTACAGTTTAAAATTCAAATGGCAAGTTCAGTGAAATTGGAAAGTGTGATATTTTTTAATAACTTTTATTTTCACTTGAAGTCCCCATTACCAAAGTTTAATTTGGGAAAAATTTTGTGGTTTTGAAAAGTTCATTGTTTTCTTTATTCTCATTGAAATAATATAATATACTATGTAGTTTCAAATTAGTATTAAATGAGGTTTGCTTATGTTTTAAGGGATATATTAGTCGTGGAAATTTTGAAAGTGCAGGATTGGGTATGGTACATTTGTTTGTGAAGAAAGCTTACGACCGAAATGCTACTGTTCCACTTGGTGTCAACATTGGTAGAAATGAGGTTCATATTCTAATTTTTTTTCATCATCTTAAATCTTTATTAAATTGCTCCTTCTTTATTTTACTTCTTCAGAAGAAATTTGTAAAAACATGTATCATTGTATAACATTTAAGTGCTAGTTTTTATTCCATTTTTGTTTTTTCATTAGTGAGAATATAGTACTATGGTTTTCTCGATTTATAAAATATAATACTATTTATATATAAGAATTTTTTCCGGAGTTTAACAACTTGAACAATCTGTTACTGATTTGTAAGAAAATAAGTGTACACTTTGAATTTGCATATAGTAGTCCGATGTTCTAAATCATGTGAATTTCTTCATTAGTAATGTAGTTATTATTTATAAGGAAAACTCTTCATGTATTTTGTTGTATAAGAAATAATTTTTCAGGTAAACAGTTCCTTTAAAACAGATTATAGCCTGGGCGTGGATTATTTTGGTCCATTTAGCAATTATCTGGTTATAAATTTTGGCTCTCCAAATGACATTAAAAAAATTGCTGATCTGCAAGATGTTCGTACCTCTCCTTTTCGTTTTTGATTTTCTGTTTTTATAAAGCTTAACATATGAATTGCAGGTTCTCAAAGTCAATGTAGGAAGTTTACAAAGAATCACGTTAGATGGTAAGATTGCGCCAAAGGTTCTAATCAAAATTTATCCTGACTTATCGGAATCAGAATTAAAAACAATCATCAAAGTATATTTTTTAATTTCGTTGTAGTTTTATTTGAGATTAGGTTTGTTTTTCTGATAAAAGTTTTTTTTTTAAATTGTAGGAGTATCTGAAAGTTTTGTAACTTTTTTCATAGTTTTTCAAACATTATTCATTGATTTTCCAATTTTTGTATTTTAATAAACTCCGGAAGTATTTGCAGATAGCACTGGATAAACGATATGGAATCGATGGCATTATCATTTCAAATTTCACTGCTTACTGTGGAGATAATAGTGGAGGTGCAATAAAGGAAGATGGCTTTGTAAGTGGTAAACCGCTCCGCGATATTAGTACAAATTGTATACGAAATGTTTACAGGTCATTCTCATAGTCGATAACTTATTTTATTTGCTAACTTCTTTAATTGTATTGGAGCATTTGTCTTTTTTATTTATTATAAAACATCATTTGTAAAGTATAATTGCATTATATGATACTTTATTAACTTCTCACATGCATATTTAAAAATCATTATGTTTTATTCAAGTATTTTATATTTGAAATAATTTTCTCTTTTAGTGTTTTAAAAAAATAATACGCTAAAAGTTGTTGATTTCGCAAAATCTGTCGCATATTTTTTAGGATATTTTGTATGCTGCAACTAGAAAAATTTTTAATTAATTCTGCAGGGATAGATAAGGTGATTATCTAAGGAGCATGCATGAAATATTATTCTTGTTCTTAGCTCACTAAATTTTCTAGATGGTCTCAAGGTAAAATACCAATCATTGGATGTGGTGGAATATCAAATGGCCTAGCTGCTTACGAAAAAATTCGAGCAGGAGCAAGTCTTGTGCAAGTGTATTCATCACTTCTTCTTCAAGGTGAAAATATGAATATCACAAATATTTTTGGTCAAGAATTTATAGATCGTTAGGAAATTATGAATTTGCAACAAAGCAGTTTTCATAAATAGCAATGTTCTCACTTTGAATTTTTATGCATTCATATTTATCAAAATTTCGTTAAAAAGCAAATTAAGATTATTTATGTACTTGTAGGCAGCATTATTTTTATCAGATATTTCTCTGTTTCCTATTCGTTACAATTTTTAGAGCTTATCAAAAGAAATAGAGAAAAGGTTTCTAGTCCTTAGATTTATCGTTTTCTGTAGTCTCTCTGCTCTTTATCAAAATTTTTATCATTATTGAAGCTCTGCGAAAGCTTTCTAGAAGCATGAATTTCTCTCATAAAAAGTGGTTTTCGATTTTTTTGTATTTTACAGCTGCTGTGAAAATTCGTTATTACGTATTAAATTTTCAGTACTAAGTAATGATAGGTGATAGAGTATTAGTAAAAAATTTTTCGTAAATTTTGAATTAAAATCATGTTTTCAAAAATTTTTGTCAAATTTTATTCAGGATTTCCAGTAATAGGCCTTATTAAACGGGAATTGGTGGAATGCCTTATTCGTGATGGCTTTAATAATGTTTCTGAAGCTGTTGGTGCTGATCATAGGAAGGAATAATGATAATTTAAAAAGTAAACTGTTTTGAATTATTTTTTTCTTAATTAATACTTTCTTTTGATTTAATTTCGTAGGCTTTTCCAGTTTTTCATACAAAGATTGATTCACAAATTTCTGTTGTAAAAGTTTTATTTGTGAACATTTAAATTGCTTAAAAGAAACGAATATTTGTGCAATTTTTAATTCTTGTGTTTTTCAAATAATTTCGAGGATGTAGATTTGGATGTTGCTTTAACACTGGATCTCAATACTGTCATTGTGAGGAAGTATATGCTTGTATTAGATTCACTTAGTCTTCAGTGTCCTAGCTTAGTTGTTTCTCTTCAAGTAATATTTAATTTTTATCCATGAATTATTATGTTTGACTGCTTGTTCTTTCATATTCAAGAACTGATGTAATACCTTGTATTATTTGATGCGCATTTATTTGACTATAAGAAACAGTCTGTTCAAAATATCAGTTTTACAGCAATGAAACTTTTATATGTCTGTTGAAAATGTTTGGTTTTTTAATGTTAATAGGTGTTATTATTTTGAAGGTATAAAGTTGATTGGGATTGCTTTGTCTTGAACACTAATGATATCTAATTTACTACTTTTTCTTTAGTTTTTATAATATAAAGTCAACTTAATGGATATTATTTTATGTACACTTTTCAATATTATTGAACAGGAACATGAAAAAGTGCAAATATAGCTGAAGTTTTTGCTTTTATTTATTTATTTTTTGTCCAAATTTATAGCTGTTTGTATTTTAAACCCGTATAGTTGGCGAATGCACGGAATATGGTTGATTGAATTGTTGAGGTAAACAACGGAGAGAAATTAAGAAACAAAGTGGTAGTAACTTTTGTTGTTACTTGTAATTTTTGTATTTTTACTACTTTTTCACTCTCGTTAATATCTACCAAAAACAGTAGCTGCTTGTAATAAGGTAACAGCACTAGTTGGGGTGATTGAATGACTAAATGAATAGTTGAATGAGTAAATGAGCGAATGAATGACTGGATGAATGAATTAATGAAAAACAAATAGAGCGCTTTCAGTTTGAATTTCATCAGTTTAAAGTCTTATTTATTTGAAATATATTGAGGTAATATAAATATAATATTATTTATATTATATAATTTCTCATGCATTTTAAATCTTCGTATGTCCTATTATTATTGTCACTAAACTTAATCATGACATCTGGTTTGATCTTGCAATAAATAAAGTTGATCTTAAAATCAAACTACAATTTCGATTTATGTACCTATCAATGTTTTACATTTTCAGTACGATTTTTTACTATTAAACAAATAATATTGGTAAATTACATATTTTTAAGTCTTGCATTAAAATTCCAAGGGTTTCCTTAAAGTCTGCTTTATCTAATGAATCGTTTGTTATAGATATCAAATCTGGAACATAAATGAACATGTACAACCTGTGATTTTATAATGAATGAATCTTTTTTGATACCTCACAGTGCTAAGGCAAGTAATAATAGTTAAGATACTGATTCTTGCCACAATTATGATTTTTTTATTACCTCACATGAAACAGATAAGCTTTTTGGCATAATTGCATTTTTGTGCTGAAAGTCATCAGTTGGTGCATTTCAAATAATCTTAGAGTCTACTAAATACTTAGCATTTAAGCATAATCAAACATTTCCAAGCACTGTAGTACGTAACTGCTCGTAAAATATGTTTTACCATTTGCAAGTACCAAACTTCAACAGACTAAAAGTAGTCTTGTCCTCAGTCTATACTTGGATTTATACAAGTTTTGCAAAGATTGTCTATACAAATTTCTCAAATTACTGGATAATCGGATATCTATCAGATTTTATCAACATATTCTGCATGAACTTTCCTTTTGATTATTACAGTAATGCAGTTTATCTAATTTCTTGCAACAAATTTTATCAATATATTGTGCTGTGAACAAAAAATGAACATTATCATATGCAAAGAATTTTTGTATATTATCAGTTTTATTACAGTATATGCATGAAACTGTAACTATAACGTAATGCTTAGGAGATTAAAGCCTTATCTGCTTGACTGCTTGATTTAGCAAAGATGAAATGACAATGAACTTTAACCTTTTGGTACACTACAAAGCTGGTTGTAAGTAATAATAACTGCATAGTTTGTAATAACTTAGTTTAAGCAACAAAGAAGGAATCAAATGGAAAGTAGGAAATTTTTTTTAATTAAAAGAGTTGAGAGAAAAGAGTGTTGAGAATGCTGTCGAGATCATGTTCAGCAGTCCTTCTTACTGCGGTAATTAAAACCGCCGCAGCATTACTTTTCATCAGCGAGCTTTACTTAATTCCTTCTCTTTTTTTACTTTTAATCCTTTTCAGTCTCGCGCACTTTTTAATCTCTGTAATATGAAGAAGCTTTTCTAATAGTACAAATCACTTATATAAATCCATTATTTTAGCAAGAATAAAAAATTTCATATTTTTCTCATAGTACATTTTGAATAGTATTTAAATTAATTGCTTATTCATCCCTTCAAAATTAATAATAATAATAATAATAATAATAATAATAATGAATACATTTTCAAGATTATCAAATAAATGTTCAGTCAAGAAGATAATTTTGTATTGTTTGGTAATAAAGATGATTTACTTTTGGGACAGCTTATTTAGCAATAACTTAATAAGACATAGTCATAATTATGCAATGTTTTAAGTGCAATAATACGACGAAACTACAAAATGCTCAAATTGAGTTATGCTAATTTCTTTATTGGTTTGAAACAAAAACTTACACTGAAAGATTTTTGATAAAATGAGTTGACATTAATATGCATTTAAGATGGACAAATCAGAAAAATGTCCTATAGCAAACGATGGACAGCCTAGCCTTATGGCTTTAGTTTTATTATTAATTAGCTATCGTTTTCTCAATACGCTATTAAAAGACGTACTTTAAATAATTTTTGTTTTCTATTTCTTTAGCAAAAAGAAAGTAAAAAGTTTAAAAGAAAGAAGCAGAAGAAAGTAAAGGATTACTTAGACGAAAAGTATGCAAGAAGACAAGCAGTCAGTTTGATATTTTTGAAATGAGCTTAGTCTACTTTTATTTTTACTTGCTCACTTTAATTTATAGCATTTATTTGATGAAAAAGTAAAGAAATATTGAAAATAATACCAAGTAAGGCATACATATATTAATTATTAATTAGTGCCATCACCGTAAGTTAATATACTTTAATACAGAAATATACGCTAACTTATCATAACTCATAACTGTTACTTGCAAATTTTACACTCACTCTCACGTGTAATGTTTATAATCATAGTAGAAATTAAACTAAAAAGTTTACTTTTCATAATATTAAAATTAAAGTGCAAGTATCAATGAGAATTGTTTATTAAACATCGAGTAAAGTAAAATTAAATTTTAACATTTTAGCTGAGTTCAACAAACTGATAATTGTTCTGGTGGGAATAGTAGTTATGTTATTCGATTGACCTCTGAAATTTTTGAATAAAAGTAGAATCTGTAAATTTTATTCAAATTATAAATTCAATTCAAGTCTTATCATTGCCACTTTAGCATATATACTCTACTAAATAACGTTTGATACTCACTTGTAAGTCATTTCAAATGTATTGTTTATATCAGCCGAAAATGCATGTATTCATAATATTATCAAACTTTCCTGTATCTATTTGTATTTTTGAATTAAAAATAAAATCATATTTGAACATTTATATTGTTTATTTCTGCTTTACTTACTTTTACTTTTAATTTGCAGAAATTAATTCCCAAATTTTAAGATTTATTATATCAGCTTTGCATGTGATGACTAATCCAATTTGTTTTTGCCATAAAAAGTAATAAAAATAATAAAAACTAAGTTTTATAATTACGTCTAAAGTAAGCTTATATTTACTCATTGTTTTTGCTTCTATACAAAGAGAGTACTGCGATAAATTATATTCAAGCAAAATTATTATCTGTCATTTTTTGGCACAAATTTCTATCATTGCTTACCGATTATATTCATTTACTGAAAATTTTATATTCTTTTTTTTCTTTCAAAAAACAAAAATCGAACAAAAATGCTTGAATAATTTTTGTGGTAATTTTAAACTGAAAAAAAATTTTTCAAATTAAACGAAATTTTAAAGCAGAAAAATTACTAAGAATTATTCTATTTCTATACCAATTACTTTAATATACAACATATTTATTTAAGTATTTGCAGACATAATTGCTTGACATTACTGATATGCACTCAGGAAGCTAAGTCTTTCTAGAATGCAGTAAATTGGCAAGGGAAAGTTTGCTTCTGGGCATTTCTGTGTTAAACCAAGTTATCACTGCACAAATAAACTGTTCATATGCAATACACTCAACGAAAATGGTTTATTTTCAGTAAAATGATTAATAATATTTTAAATACTATCACTGCAATGCTTATTCATATAAATTCTGAATATAATTAAAGTAATTACTAATTTTAAGCACTTCTATTAATAATATTAGTTGTTATATATCTAGAAATCAATAAGAACTTAAAATTACTTTCTAATTATAAAAAGCGATTAAGAACACGCATACTTTTTTGCTTTCGGTCTTATTTTATTCTCATCAATCCATTTGATTCTTTACACCAAATCAGAACGTCTAAATTGACTGAATCAGTGCAAAAATTTATCATCAAAATGTTATCATTTAAACAGTTATTCAAATTGATTTGAAACTATCTCTTAATTAATAATAAAAATAATACTTTAATAATTTTGGAAAGAAACAAACATTTTCAAATGCTTGTAAGATAACTTTGAAATTTCTATAGAAATAATCTTCCTGTGAAAATGAAATAATTAAATGATTTAATACTGTGAGTATGGAGAACAAATTAAATTAAGATTGAATGAGAAAGCAATGGGCTGCGAATTTTGTCAGTTATTTTGAGATTCAGAAAATAATTCTCATTTGATTATTTAAATTTGTCTAACAGTAAAATAATAATAAGTTTTGCTG